AAAGAAAGTTGGAGCAGAAAATTCCCCCACTGGGCATGGAGATCCCCACACACTGAGGCTTCTAGATCCAGGAGAAAGAGAGCTGTGACGCAAGGGGAGTGTCAGAAGCGCAGCAGCATCAGACTCTCTAAGAACCTTCCGAACAGCAGCAGGGAAATTTGTTGGTCAAATGTAGTGCCAAAAGGCACCACTTCTGAGACATCAGCCGCTTCAAACCTTATGAATAGCACTGAAGCGTGACAGAAGATGGCCCTGCATGTTGCATAAGACCGGCGAAGAGCTGCCTCCTCAAAGAAGAGTTGACTTTAATGATAGGGACAGAGCACAAGTTTGGGACCTATATTTGGTGACGAACATGACTCAAAATCAGAAACAAATGTAAACATCCATTATGAATTGGAATTTGGAATTCACACTGTATGAATCTAGGAAAATTGAAAGTTGTCAAAAATGAAATGGAACACATAAATATAACTATCCTAGGCATTAGTCAACTGAAAGGATTGGTGCTAGCCATTTTGAAGCAGACAATCATATGGCTTACTTTGCTGGGAAGGACAAATTCAAAAAGAATGGCGTCACTTTCATCATCCAATTTCAAGATCTATCTTTAAGCACAACATTATCGGCGATAGGATAATAATATCTAAATACCCTCTAAGAAAGTCCAGTTAATAAAACTGCTACTCAAATTTAAACATCAAGCACAAACACTAGTGAAGAAGAAATGGAATAATTCTACAAACTTCTTCAGTCTGAAATTGATCAAACCTGTAATCAAAGTGTATTGATCATTAGTGGTAATCGTAATGAAAAAGTTGAAAACAAAACAGAAGAATCAGTAGCTGGAACACATGGCCTTGGTGATACAAACTAAGCTAGAGATTGCATGACTGAATTTTGCAAACCCAACAATTTCTTTATTGTAAGTACCTTTTTGCAGTAGCACAAAAGTCTACTATATACATGTACTTCTGCATCTGTAATACACGTAAATTAAATGGACTAAATCAGTGGGAAGAGAAGACGGAGAAGTTGAATATTAGCTGCCAAGGGAGGTCAGAGATCCACTATGGAACAGACCATCAATTGGTACTTTCTAAATTCAGCATGAAGCTGAAGAAAAATGAAACAATTTCACGAGAACCAAATATGATCTTGAGAAGATCCCACTTGAAGTCTTGAGAGCATCTCAAGCACAGTTCTGACAGAGTGAACACCAAGGAGAGGTGATCAATGAGCTATGGGCTGCTCTGAAGGGAATTGCCTATACCAAAAACAAAGGGTAGTTTTAAAGATAGGAAAGAAAGAGAATATCAACTTGAATGAGTGGCTAAAGCAAATATAATAATCAAAGGAGAGCTCAAGAAGAAAAAGCAATCATTCATAATTAAATTCGCAAATACCTGAAGTTAAAGAACCAAAAAGTAAGATCAAGCTCAGCATAACTAAAGCTAAAAGAACTGAAGACAAAATATAAACCTATAGTGAAGAATTTTGTGGGAAAATATTGAATAATGCAGGAAGAATCCAAAGGCCATAAAAGAAATACTGAGTCTGTACCAGAAAAAAAAAGTTCACATTCAAACATTCAAGAGGTAGCATATGATCAAAAACCATTAATACTGATGCAAAAATGTCAAGCAGCCAAGAAGACATCTGGGCAAAATAAGGCTCAGTGTTTCACAAGCTTAGGAAGCACTTACGAACAGCAGCAGGGAAACATGGTCAAATGTAGTGCCAAAAGGCACCACTTCTGAGACTCTTTCATTGATGTCAAGAAATTTGTAAGGCAGCTATCAGGCCAATTGACTGGAAGAGATAAATATTTGTGCCCCAAAGAAAGCAAAAATTGCTTTAAAATGTTATTCATAATACATGTGAGATACATTTTGCTGAAGATAATTCATCTCCGGTTGCAGCAATACATCAATTGGGAGATGCCTGAAATTCAATCTTGATCAGAAGTTGATGTGGCAGTAGGGATATGGTTGCTGATGTCACATGAGCCTTGCCTCAAAGTTGAGAAAAACAGTTTTACTTTCTTTAACTACAAAGACATTTGACTGTGTGGATCATAGCAGGATGGCTAACACTGGAAAAAACTGCAACTGCAAAATACTTCATTGTGCTCCCATGGAACCTGTACATCCACAAAGTAGTAGTTTGGATTGAACAAAGGCATACTGCGTGGTTGAAAATCAGGGAAAGTGTGCATCTGGGTTGCACCCTTTCAACATACTTATTCTATCTGTATGCTGAGCAATAATCTGAGAGAGGGACTATCTGAAGAAGAACATGATATCTGGATGAGAGGCAGGCTTATTACCTGAGATATGCAGATGACTCAACCTTGCTTGCTGAAAGTGAGGAGGACATGAAGCACTTGCCAGTGAAGGTCAAGGACTGCCACCTTCAGTATGAATTACAACTCAGTATAATGAAAACAAAAATCCTTACAATTAGACCAATAGACAACATCATAATAGAGAAAAGATTGGAATTGTCCATGATTTCATTGCGCTTGAAATCATAGCCAATGCTCATAGCATTGCAGCTAAGAAAGCAAAGGACATATTTCAACATGGCAAATATGCTTCCACGACCTCTTCAAAATGTCGAAGAGCCCCAGTCATCTGTAGCACATGGCCTGGGTCACTAATATCTTGATAGAACCTAAATCAAGAGTCCAATTAGGAACATAGTACCAGGCATATTCTCCTCTTCCATATACGTACTGTTCTTTCAAGGCACCCAGCATGCTTCATAAACCACAGTAGCAGGACTTGATGTGGAAACTCAATGAAGTGGACTGAGTTTACCTCATCCTCACCTAATAGTACTTGGGACTTAAGGCTCCCAAGTGTGAGAAGAAGCAGATAACTGTTATCCCAAGGACATAGGACTGGTTGACAATGGACTTTGGTTTAGATCTCTTGCCTTGAGAAGCACAATGAATGGAAGATGCACACCAGCCTGTGTGATCCAAGGATTGCAAATAATAAAATCCAAATATGAAGGAGGGAATGGTATCAGAGCTTAACTTGTGAACACCTGTTTTACAGAAGGCTATGGATCATAGTGGAATCCCAAATCCAATTTCAGGGTTAAGCCTCCAGCAATTCCCCTCTGATTAGCTAAGGGATCTGATTAGCCTTGTTATTGGACAGAGAGCCTTGTAAAGTAGATTAAGGCTGATCTCACTGCATTATGTCATTGCTGACTCATAACAACTCTATAGGACAGGGTCGAACTGTCCCCTTTGAGTTTCTAAGATTGTAAATGCAAACAGGAAGAAAAGTCCTTGCCTTTCTCCCTTAGATTGGCTGGTGTTTTCAGATTGCAGTCCAAGGCATAACCATTATGCCACCAAATATTAGGATAAAATATAATATCTTTTCATTTGATCTCCCTTTTGACTGATTTTAAAGTTGTTTCAGTTTTTTAATAAAATGAGGGGGGGCATTTGGATTAAGCTAAGCCTTCAGTAAATCCCTTGTGACCATGTGAACAACTTTTCTATCATATAGAATCCATTAGAAAGTAGATGATTGAAGATGTAGCTAGGTTACAATTGAACACTTTATCATTTGATCTCCCTTTTAATCCATTTTAAATTGTTTATGTTTTAAAAAATATTTTCTGCTTTCCTTCCAGCTGAGGCTTTTCTCTATTTTACATTTTGTTGTTCTTAGCTTTTTTTGTTGTTTGAAAATATTATATCTGAAATCCAGGATCAATCAACAGAGACAGTAATTGGATTAATGTTCTTGGGGAGAGGTGTGAGATAACAACAAGTATAAGAGTGAAGAAAGTGGTCTACAATAGATTGTACAATTCTTTTTAATATGACTGAAATATGGAATTGTATCGCTTTTGAAATATGTGCAATACAACTATTTTTTAATGGAAAAAATTGTGGAAAGGACCATGGACTGTCAGGAGAATAAACGAATCTATCTTGGAGGAAATACAGCCAGAATGCTCCTTAGGAAGGAGGATGGAGAGACTTAGTCTCACACACTAGTTATTATGAGTCTTGACTGACAGGAAAGCAGCCAATTACAATGTGCTTTTTGATATTTCTTTCCTTTTGGTAACTTTGGATTGACCTGCTCTGTTTATATTTTTTATGTAATTGTGTCAAAAGTTTCTTTCTTGAAGATAGCAAGAGGATGGTTCATAGTTTGTTTGGTGTTTTTGAAATGTTTTTGTTCTATTCATTCTATCCCTCTGTTCCTTGGATTGGAGAGTTTAGTTCATTTAATATTGACTAGCCACATTGTGAAGAAATTTTTACTAGGGTTATGCTGTTTAAAAGGAGTAATGATTTTACATTATATACATTTATAAGTTTAGCCATAAAATAAAGAAATTAAAAAGACATACAAATAGAATAAAAATAAACTATACAAAACTTAAAAATAGAAAATGGAATGTTTTTACTATACCTCATAAAAAGGAATCTTTTCGGGGCAAAAATCAATAAAAACACAAAAAGCATTATGGAAATAAAAATACTTTGTAGTTTTATTTTTAGTATCATAAAGTCAACATTTAATTATTACTATTAAATTTCACATATTGCTGAATAAATTAAGAGATATTAAGCACATTTCAGAATGCTAAAACGAGTCCCATGATATATTTCATTGCCTATTAGCAAAATATATAAAATTCAGTGAATCCTCCTTTCCTTTCTTTTGCTGTAATGCTCTTCTGTGGCTGATCATATTGAAGCATACTTTGTACTTACATATTTAACTTATCCTTCCAAAAAGAAAAAAAAATTGAAGACTGTCCCCAGGCTAGTTGATAATGAACATTAATTGTTATAGAAAAGAAATAAAAAGGGACACAGAGAAATGGAGAGCAATGCCAAGTCCAGGGGATAGATGCATATTTTTTATGATATGTTCAAACATGTTTCTCCTGGAGGTCAATAAGCTTTCTTCACTAGTTTAGGGATACTAATAATTTTTTTATTTCCTGTAGTTACAACAGAACTCATTATTTATTCCATCTGAAGACATACTGCTTGCATCTCTGGGCATCAATGGAAGAAAAAATTAGTTACACATAGTTTAGTCCTTCAGTTCTAATTGCTTCAGTTTAATGGAGAAACTAGGAGCATTGTTTTCAAAGCACACTGATGAGCAGATAATATGTGGTCACATTAAAATAAAATTACAGGGAGACAAATTATACAAATGAGAAAGTTTAACAAAAAATGTGCTGCCAAGTGGAATACTACACATAGATATGATTTTTAAATAAAAGCATATTTCTCTTTTACAAATACAATAAACATAAGGTAGTGATATGAAAGCAGAATCTTAATTTATCTTTAGTTTATTCAATAGTGTACAAATCAAAAATTAATTGTGCTATATTTGAGATGAAAATATTTTTGTATGACATATTTTAGGAGAAAGGCAACATGGATTGATAAAAGTATGCTATTAAATTACTTAAACTCCATATATGCAGTTCTCATTGCTCAAATAATGATTAGCCTAGGTTGAAAGAGTTACTGGCTTAAATAAACCTTCAGTGCGTGTACGATTCCACAGGGCCTTAAAAAAAAGAAGAAAAAAAAAGAAATGAATGAATGCCATGAAATTAATAAAATGAAATGAAATCAATGAGAACATTTAGAATACATATCAAAAACACAGATCAACAAACAACTATTCTGATCATGATCTTTATGTCAAAACATATTAATATTTGCTAATGGAAATATTTATGTTAATAAGCTTTACAGACTTCCAAATGTGATGTGATGTGATATTTACTACAAAAAGAAGAATGGAAATGTGATGACAAATTCTATATCCTGGTTTTGTTAAATAAGGCCACATTGCAACATTTTCACAAAATTGTTTTTTACGTTATGCATTCTACAAGACAAGTAAATGCTTAATATCTTAAGTGGCTCTCCTAATATTTTTGTAAACCACAGTTACCATTCATGGTCCCCAAAACAGCTCCAACAGAATTTTGTCAATCTTCATTAATTAATTTTAGTACTTCTTAATCTCTAAGCTTTAAGGCAAGCGCTGGCGATGGAGTAGTAACAAGCTGGGATGCGAACAGGGTCAGCATTTCAAAACCACCAGCCTCTCTGCCAGAGAAAGTTGAGGCTCTTTGCTACCATAGAGTTACAGTCTCAGAAACCCTGAGGATCAATGAATTCTGCCCTGCCCTATAGGGTTGCTATCAGTCAACACTGACCCCATGTTAGTGAGTTTGGTTTTGGTTTGGAAAATTGAGTGCAGTGATAGATCAACATACTTAAAAATATTTTACCCTTTAATCAGAGAAATTATATTTTGTGCAATTATTTTTTTCAACCACTTTATGGGCAAGTAATTTACATATCATATAATTCAATAGTTCAATCATTTAATTATATCACAGAGAATTGTGCAATTACCCCAACATCAATTTTAGAGAGCTCCCCCTCCCCCATGATTAAATCACAACCAAGATAATTTATGCCATCACAATCCTTTCTGGTGCTCCCTCCCCACTCCCATCTTCATTAATTACTCCCCAAATCCCCTTACCCTCACTATCCCCACCCCCACACACCTGTATTCCCTATATCCCCTGTATCCATAATTATCTTTATGTGTCCACTCCTCCTGCGCCTCACTTCTGGGAGAACCAACAATAGAAAACAAAAGTGTGCTAAGGTGATAAGGGTAGAAACAATTGTATACAGACAAAAATACTAATAATGCATAAGAAGGAAAACAAAACCCAACAACATTCAAGAAGTCAGGGAAGAAATTTCTGTCATGGAACCAGTAAGAGACGATTATACGCAGAACAAATTCAGATCGCATTTACTGGTGACCAACTGGCCAAGCGTTGAGTTCTATCCAGCATAACTGAGATTACAATCGTCAATGCCTGATAGGAAGGCTCTCAGCAGATCTGCCAGGGCTCAGTCTCACTCGGCAGATGGGTTTGGGCTCTCACCATTTTCCCATAGCCCTCTACAAATTGGGCGTTCGTCATTTTGGATCTAATGCTATTCTCCTTACTCTGATTGAGTTTTGTACTTGTCATTTTTGGATCACATGACTTGGTGTGTGCTTCTTCTTTGTGGACTTAATTGACTCCTGCTCATTTGAATATAAGTCTTTAAGACCCCCAGACATTATTCTGATTGATAGCAGGGCATCATCTTCTTTCTGTACCACACTTTGCTGTGCAGCCTTCTCTTCAGTGATCATTTTATGAAGGAGAGTATTGAGCAGGGCCATGTATAAGAACAGATTATTCTTAAGCTGAAGCGAGCATTTTCTGTGAGCTCAAAAGCCATTCCTGGATCGATGCCTTTATTTTAGTTATTTATTTGTGTTTCATTAATTTGCTGTAGATTGGACCCAATTCATTTGTCATATCTTTCCATAGCCCAATCATGTCAAACCTAATTGCACAATGTCTTGCATACGTGTTTTCCAAAACATACTTTTCTTTCAATGGCTTCTTGTCTTCATTTCCCTCTTGCCCCGCACCCTCACCTCTCAGTAACCCCCTTCCCCAAACCTTTGTTATATTTTCTATGTGTTTAAAAAGTATAGAAAAATAAAGAAAATAGAGAATATAAAAAGTATAAACTATGGTCTTTAACCACAAGGACTGTACAATCTAGCTTGAGAAACAGAGATGAATATCATAAAAGATGAATTATAAGCCAATAGTTTAGAAGTATATGTCAATTGATTGATGGTTCTTATGACTGCGGTAGTTCTGTTGAAGGCTGGATATACTTAAGTTCAGATTTTAGGTATATTACAAAGGAAATGGGACTGAAACTAGATACTCAATAGGAAATATGACATAGTGGAGAAAATGTTTGAGGAGTATTTCGGGTAGCATCATTAAAAATAAATTGTAAAACAAGTAAATAATTGAGACAAGAAATAACAATTATAGAACAGTAGAGGTAGAATAAAAGCTCCAAGTATGGAAATCACAAAACCTAAAATTACATAAAGAAGAAAGAATGACTTTGGTCCCTGATATAGATATTATACTATATATTTTTGTGAGTTATTTAATGTGAGTATGTTTTAATTGAGAAATACAAGATACAATAAACATTTTGGATTTGTGTGTCGCATATTTTTGTTTATGCTATACAGATTAGAAAGTATGGAACCTATTGAGGGGTTAAACCAATGTGATGAAGTCCTGTTGCTCCTAGCAGTACGGGGAGGTGACTATTTATGGTACTGTGACTTCTCACCTGTCAAGATGATTGCTCAGCTTAGTAAACAGCTGACTCATCATCTGAGGACGCACTCAAATGAAACAGACTCAGAAAAGTACTTCCCGGGAACTTCCTTCCAGGCACCAATCTTTCTTCTTCAGTAGAGTCTGAAAGGTGGTGTGGGAGGAGGGTTTCAGACCAGGTTGCTGACAGTGTCCTTGTTCCATGGCAGTGATGGCAACAGGCGGGGCCAATAGTATAGGGGGAGGGACCATCTAGGCAGTGGTACCACTAGGGTTGGTGTTACTGTTTACCCAGTCTGACTCATCACCACCAATCCATGCATACCCTCTGTTACTGAATAGGGTGCCTTGTTGTCACCTCTCAATCTCCTCAGTACCATTCAAGGGCTTTGGCACCCAACAATGGGCAGAGAAAGTGGTATCCACCATGGCTAATGGGAGATAGGAGGACCTGGGGAGAAGGGGTTTGATGGATGGAGCTGAATATAAGCTGCTCCCAGGCGAGTTCCCAGGCAGTGGTAGGGGGTGTGTGTGTGACCAGCTGGCCCCATCAGGATGGGGAGCAGAGCTGGAGTGAGACTATGCATGACCCCACTAGGTAAAACCGAGCCAGGTGATACCATCTGGCTTTTCTTTGTTTGGGTTCTCTCTTGTCATCTTTTTGTCATTTCCTTGATGACGTTTATCACTGTGTGAAATAATCTTGTTTCACTCCTTGATCTTCCTTTTATTTTCTTCTCTCACTGTCATTAAAGCTCTATGAAGAAATGTATCTGCTCAATTTCAGTGTCTGAAATAACTTAAAAGGAAAACAAAAAGCAATGCATAAATTAGAGACTAGAATACCTGCTGATAAAAACCACACGTCTACAGTATACGGAACGCTCGGCGGTAGATACACAGTGAACATGGAACCATTTAAAAGCCTCCATGGTCAGTTCCACCAACAGATTGTTTTGGGTCATGGGGAGTCGAAAATTGGGCAAAGGACGGTGGTGAAAGGGAGCATGGCATAAGTGCTGCAACTGACCTCACTGAATTGTTTATGAGAAAGATGTTGGACTGGCAAATGTGGTGCTATTTACATTTTGACAACAATCAAATAAATCCAATACACACGTTTCTCAAACCCACAAAAGGCCCAGACTAAAGTAAATGTGAGGAGGACAAGGTAGAATTGACCCTGTGGGTTTCTCATATGAGCACTTACCTGCCGGGGCCCCCATGGCCCTTATTAACGACCATAAAATATAATGCCAATAACAAAGAGTTAAAAAATAATAAAGAATTCATACTGTTCAGTTCCTGTTTCACAAATGTGAGTTGAAAGAATGTGAGCAGACAGAAAAAAATATCTGTTACTATTTTATCAATCCGAAATTCTAGATTCCATTATATTTTATGGTCGTTAATAAGGGCTGTGGTGGCTGTGGCAGGTAAGTGTTAGACTTAACCACAGGTAAGGAAGTCCACCCCACCAACACATATGGCCGTGAGCTCTTTCACTTTTTGGCAGAATGCTCATATAAGAAGCCTTAGTAGCATAAAGGTTAATTGCTTGGGTGAGCAGTTCAAAACTACCAGCTTTTCCTCAGGGAAAAGAGGAAGCTTTCTATCCCTGTAAAGACTTATAGTCTCTGACAGGGTCAGTTCTACCCTTTCCTATAGGGTGGCTCTGAATTGAAATACACTCGGTGGCAGTGTGGTCTGGGTTTGAGTTCTTAATAAAATTCTAGTCTGGAAGTCCTTTTTAGTTTTCAGAATTAGTACAATAAAGGGCAATGTATTATCACACAGCAAAACAAGAACATAACCCTTTGCCATTGAGTTGAATATATTCTGCGTCACAAATGTCACTGAATTGTACATTAACATTTATGTTCCCAAACAGCTTATGATATTCTAGTGCTTGTCACGTAGAAAGGACAAAACCCCAATACTTCCATAATTTATATTTAGTAGAACACAGAAAAGACATTGGGAAGGAGTGTTGCTCAAGTAATGGGAATATAAGGTGGGCCGTGATTACATGGTAGTGACAAAAATAATTAGAAAGATAGAATGTTTTTTGGTATGATTGACCACTCTTGGATTATTGTGCATTAAGAATATCTGTGGCAATTAATACATATGTTACACATTTTTGCTGTGAAGTAGCTTAAAAGAACTAGGTGCTTGGCATAAGGAGAGGCTTTTGCCAATGACATAGGATAGACTCTACGGTGTGTTTTTTTTTTCTTTTCTGTTTATTACTTATTCTGAAATGACTTTCAAAAGTCACCTAGCCAGCACACCTTAGACGCCTGCAGGAACCCTCTTCTCT